CCTAAATCACTCGTACGCACAACTTAAGAACAAATCTGTGCGTACGAACGGTTCTTGCATGAGGCCCATTGTTAATAATGTTAAACACTCTCACACAGTAAAAGAAAAAAAAAACTGTTACGCCCAAAATATCTTATTTATTGTTTTGTCATTTAAAAGAAGTTGTTTGTTTTATTGCAACCTGTATTTTATTTCAGTTTTCTGTTATTTGTTCAGTTGTCCAAAAAAGGTTGTAGTGTGAAATAAACTGCAATGGAGCGTGAAAACAAAATATGTGCCTGGTTGGAGATTGTCAGGGTTAGGAGGTGGGAATTTTTTGTGACACGAAGAGGGACCATCAGAAAAGTTTGGGAAACACTACTGGAATTATCATTAATTTTGGTCATATTTGAGTATTGCCATCATTGCAAGGCCAGTCTAAAACATTACATTTGTAAAACCAAACTGACCACTTTAAAATGTATACTCAGGTGGACTAGAAAATCCTGTATTTCAACATCAATGAAGGAACATAAAACTTTTAAAGAGATTTTTGTTTTTATAGCTCTAGTTTTAAGCAGAAAATTGATTTATAAAATCAACTAGAAGCATTTTCCTACCTTTCCCTTGTTTCCACATAATTTATTATCTGAGGATCCTGCAAGACAAAACACAAACAATATTACTGGCTACGTTTATACTTGTGTTCTCAGCTGGGTTAAAATCCCTAAAATTTCATACAACTAGGAGAACAACAGTGGTTTATATTTTAAAGGGGATTCATTTACATATATTTAGACAGTGTACAGATCATGGAGCRAATTGTGAATCATGGCAAAAAGATGACTGCATTGATGGATCATGAAACTAATGTTCAGACAATTAATTAAACCATAAATGGGTTGAGAGAAGGGAAGCTAACAAGGAGTTAGTGAGGTGTAATTAAAWTAATAAATGAAGTATTTTACTGATGAGTCTGATTGTTAGTATCAGCCCATGAAGCTACTACTTCTTGGGCTCTAGCAGGTAAACCTAGGCAGGGTCCTCTATTTGAACATTAAATTTGACAAATAAAAAATATAAATATGCACTATGATTTGTTAAGGAAGGAGCAAGCCATGAGGGCTAATGTCAAAAAAGCAGATAGGCAAGGATACCAAAGCCTTTTGGAAAGAGGTAAAAACTATTAATAATGGTAAAACCATCTCTCCTTTGCACAGTAGATGGCGCATCAGGGACAAATCTGATTGTAGATTTTTGGCAAYGCCACTAAAGCAAGTTATTTACCTGTGTACAGAGTGAATCCTACCAGGTTGACAATGTTCATATTGTAGAAACAAAGCTCATGAGAATTATCAAGCAATCAAAAAACTGTAAATAAATCYACAGGAATGGATCTTATTTTTGCTGAACATCTCACATTTGCAAGTTCGAGGTTAGCTCATCTTGCTTTGTGCTTCACTGGTTTTATAGTGCATGCTTTTATTCCTGACACCTTGACTGTTACACCAACCTAATCTGAAACCAACTGTTACAGTAGCTGCTTGAGCTGCAGTAAATAATATATAGTAGAAGAAGTGCGCGCTATGTTTAAATAGAACAAGAAGAAGCAGCAAACCCAAGCTCTTCTTGTCACCACCAACAGTGAGCTCTCCTGTGATATGGTATGTGTGTAAACCCATTTATTGTGTTTGGACCCAGCTGGTCCTTGTCCTGATAAAGGTTTGGTTTGCCAGAGTAAACGTGCTGTTGTTTGCAATGCTAAGAAAATAAGCTAAATAGGGCTCGGGTGTGTTTTGTTTTACTAAAGATGAGGAATAAAATGTAAAATAAACCAAACTTTTATTAACAAACAGAACAACAAAAGGCAGGACAAGCACAGGGAATAGCTGCAGCATGAGAGAGAATTTCTACCTTTTCCTCTGTCGACGCTCTCTGGTCTCATTTAAAAGAGCTGACTGTCAGATATTGTCCAAGATTAACCTTCAGGGTGGATGTAGCTGGCTTGCAGCCTCGCACCGATTACCTAGTCAGCGTCATCATTTACCCAGAATGCTTTGCTGTGCCAATAAAATGGCTCCGTCCATGTTATAATATATTTTAAAAAATTTACACAACTAAACAGCCTATAGTATTTTTACAGACTTTATTTTGCCATTAAAATATATGTTTATCAAATAAAGTTTAATGTTACAAGTAATTGTGGATCCCTTTAAATTAGCATTTTTTCTGTTGGATCAACTTGTAGCTAAAAAAAACTAGATTTTTTCCCCCCTAAATATAGCATTTTTGTGTTTGATCAGCTAAAGAAACAACTTAAAAAAGGAAATATTTTTAAATAAATCTAGATACCGCATAGCGGTTTTATATACTGTATGACCC